GAGTGTACTGCAAACATTCAGTTTAGTGGGTTATTTCACATCAGAATTAACTACAGAACACACTCCAAGTAGATGTCGTAGCTTCAAGAAAGCAGGTAATTTGAGGGGTTTAGTCAGAATATCTGCGAGTTGATCCTCACTTCTGCAATGCTTCAGATCTAGAGTTCCATCCTTGACTAGATCACGTAAGAAGTGATATCGTACATCGATATGCTTGCTTCTGCCATGGAGAACAGGATTCTTTGAAAGCTTGATCGTTGAACTGTTATCGCAGTAAATGGGAGTGGAACCATTGTGAGGATGCTGTAGTGTTTCAAGTAACCTTCTCAACCAGATAGCTTGACAGGCACACGAAGTTGCAGCAACAAACTCCGCTTCAGTGGTGGACAAAGTGACAATAGGTTGCTTTCTTGATGACCATGAGATCACACCTGAGCCCATCATAAAAACGTAACCGGATGTACTTTTCCTATCATTGGAATCACCAGCATAATCGCTATCAGTGAAACCAATTAGACCAGATTGTTCTCCTTTCTTGTACAATATGCCAAAATCAGTTGTTCCCTTCAAGTACCGGAAAATTCTCTTGGCAGCGAGGAGATGCAACTCCGTAGGGTGTTCCATGTATCGACTGATCAGACTAACTCCATGCATTATATCAGGCCTGGTTGTTGTCAAGTACATTAAACTTCCAACCATTTGCTTGTATAGAATGTTATCAATCTTCTTTCCTTCAGGATCTTTGGTTAGCTTCAAACCAAGATCAATTGGTGTACCAACTGAGTTGCAATGTTGCAGCTGAAACTTGGCCAAAATGTCTTGAGCATATTTTCGCTGCGAGAGAAAAATAGCATTAGAAGATTGAATTACTTCTATGCCAAGGAAGTAGTGTAGCATGCCAAGATCAGTCATTGCAAATTCTTTCATCATCGAGGACTTCAATGCATCAAACATGGCACTATTATTTCCGGTGTAGATCAAATCATCCACATATAAGCATACAATCAGTAACTGGCCATCAGATTCTGATTTTATGAATAAAGTAGGCTCATATGAGCACTTTTGGAAGCTTGACTTTAAGAAATATGCTTCTATACGACTATACCAAGCTCGGGGAGCTTGTTTCAATCCATATAGAGCCTTTCTTAACTTATACACCTTAGTCTCATTCCCTTGACATACATAACCTGGAGGTTGATCAACGTATACCTCTTCTTGCAAATCTCCATGGAGAAATGCTGATTTAACATCCAATTGAAATATAGGCCATGATTTTTGTGCTGCTAATGCAATTACCAATCTGATGGTATCATGCCTTGCAACTGGAGCAAAAACTTCGTTGTAGTCGATTCCAAGCTGTTGTTTATATCCTTTAGCGACCAAACGAGCTTTGTATTTTTCAATTTTGCTTTGTGCATTCAGCTTTGTTTTATACACCCACTTAACACCGATCGACTTGTGACCTTTGGGAAGATTAGTTAATTCCCAAGTATTATTTTCTTCAATGGCATGAATTTCCTCATCCATAGCGTGCTGCCATTTTGGATCTTGAACCGCATCATTAAATGTTAGAGGATCACAATCTGAAAGTAAAGCAAAATGGGTAATGGGATCGTCAAATTGATCAATTCCAGTTACCTCATAATCTCGCATCCAAGCTGGTCGACTCTTAGTGCGTTGAGGCCGTGTTTGTTCTGAAATTTCAGATTGGTCTTCTCCAGATGAAGTGCTCGGTAGATGTGAAGAAGAAACTTGTGGCTGTTCGGAAGAAACTTGTGACTGTTCCTCGTCTTCAAAATGGACAGGAATGGACTGCCCTGAAATAGTAGGAGTCCATGGCCATGTCTTATCTTCATCAAACACCACATCACGGCTAATGACGATTTTCTCAGTGATCGAATTGTACAATTTATAGGCTTTGGATTGTTCGCTAATCCCGAGAAAAATACCCTTTACACCTTTATCATCGAGCTTCTTCCGTTTTTCATCTGGAACATGTGCATATGCTATGCACCCAAAAATTCGCAAGTGAGCAACAGTAGGCTGTCTTCCGCTCCATGCTTCTTCGGGCATCATATTTCTGACAGCTATTGTTGGACTTCTGTTTAAGAGATGAATACTCCACAAGATTGCTTCAGGCCAGAAACTTTTCGAAAGACCAGATGTGCTTAACATGCTTCGTACCATGTTTAAGATGGTACGATTTTTCTGTTCCGCCACACCATTTTGCTGCGGGGTGTAGGAAGCTGTAAGCTGTCTTTTGATTCCATGCATCTCACAAAAATTTGCAAATTCCCGTGAGTTAAATTCCCCACCACGATCGGTTCGAAGAGTTTGGATATCTTTCCCAACTTCTTTCTCAACAAGGGCCTTATAATTTTTGAATGCTGAAAAGGCTTCAGATTTTTCCTGCAAGAAATAGACCCATGTTTTCCGACTAAAGTCATCGATAAAGGTAATAAAATACCTGTTATTACCATTGGATGGTGGATTTATAGGCCCACAGATATCGGAATGGACCAGCTCCAACACTTTCTTGGCTCTCCATGCTCTCCCTTTTGGAAATGCATTACGATGTTGTTTGCCAACAACACAGCCTTCACATACTTGGGAAACGTGATCAATCTGCGGAAGACCAGACACCATATTTTTCTGATGAAGAATCTTCAGACCATTGAAGTTCAAATGGCCATAACGAAGATGCCATAACCATGCTTGATCTTTCACCATAGCAGCAAAACAAGGAAGGGTATCATTGCAAAGATATAAAGGAAACATCTGATCTCGAGTCATATTAACTTGAACAATCAAACCCTTTTTCGGATGTTGAATTTGGCAAGTTCCCGTTTTGATAATAATCTCATAATCCTTTTCTTGAAGTTGTCCCACACTTAACAGATTGTTCTTCAAACCAGGAACACAAAACACATTTGAAAGAGAATGTTTTGAATTTTGGAAGCTAATTTTTCCCTTTCCCATAACAGATAATCTAGAATCATCACCAAATTTTACAGAGCTATTAAAAGATTCATCCAACTCAGAGAACATGGACTTGTCTCCGCACATATGGTTACTTGATCCGGTGTCCAAGTACCACATGTTTGGAAGAGTTTCTTCCATGGTATTGCAAGCCATAAGAAGAGTAATATCATCTTCGTTTTCTGCAAAATTTGATGTTCCTCCTTTCTCGTTAGGTAATTTTGTATGGCATTCAGAACGAAAATGACCATACCTGTGGCATCTAAAGCACTCAACATTTGATTTGTCGAAGGACTTTGATTCTTGGGCTTTAGCATAATCAGCGCTGCGTCTGTGGCCTCTTCCTTTGAATTCAAAAACTTGATCATCTGTTCTGCCTTTTCCTCGTCTTTGACCTCGGCCTCGGCCCCGACCTCTTGCTGCTGAAGATTCACCATATGTTGAGACCTTTAAGGCTTGTTCCTCAGTGATCCTTTGGTGGAGTTTTTGCTCATGGACCTGCAACGAACTCTGCAACTCATCAACCGATAGTTCATCAATGTCCTTGGACTCCTCAATGGAACAGACTATGTAATCAAATTTCGTAGTCAAGGAGCGAAGAATCTTTTCCACGATGGTAACATCTTGCATCGGGTCACCATGGATCCGCATCTTATTTGCAATCGCCATTGTTCTTGAAAAATAATCTGAAACACTCTCACCAGATTTCATTTGAAGGGTCTCGAATTCTCGGCGAAGTGCTTGGAGTTGGGAGCGCTTGACCTTCGATGTGCCGTGATATTTCTTCTTCATTGAGTCCCATATTTGTTTGGAAGTTTCTTTCTGGAGAATGGTCTCCAGAATTGTACGATCAATGGCCTGAAATAAGTAATTTTTCACCTTGAAATCCTTCAGTCTTTGTTCATCGAGTCTCTTTTGTTGTGCTTCTGACAAAACTACTCCACTTTCCGGTTCCACAATACCGGTTGCCACGAGAGTCCAATATTCTTTGGATCTTAGAAAATTCTCCATCAACATGCTCCAGTGATCATAATGACCATCGAAGCGAGGAATAGCCGGCTGGACATAGTTATCGACTACCTTGTCAGCCATGAATGATTGCTACTGCAAGTAAAAAGACTGCTGCTTCTGTGGAGAATTTCTTGGAAGCTCTGATACCACAATGTTAACTTACAGTAACATAGAGATCAAAAGTCTTGGTTTATTCATTGCACTGATGTTGTTTAAATAGAAATTTACACAACTAAATATCCTCAAAATAAGGAACTGACTCAACATGAAAGAAGGAACTAACTTAAATTCTACCAAGTCTACAGCAGACTTATTCAGTTCCTAAAGAAGTGGTCAATGCCAGAAAAACAGGACAAGACTCAACTAAATTCTTAACACCACCCCTTAAACTGAGTGTACTGCAAACATTCAGTTTAGTGGGTTATTTCACATCAGAATTAACTACAGAACACACTCCAAGTAGATGTCGTAGCTTCAAGAAAGCAGGTAATTTGAGGGGTTTAGTCAGAATATTTGCGAGCTGATCCTCACTTTTGCAATGCTTCAGATCTAGAGTTTCATCCTTGACTAGATCACATAAGAAGTGATATCGTACATCGATATGCTTGCTTCTGCCATGGAGAATAGGATTCTTTGAAAGCTTGATCGTTGAACTGTTATCGCAGTAGATGGGAGTGGAACCATTGTGAGGATGCTGTAGTGTTTCAAGTAACCTTCTCAACCAGATAGCTTGGCAGGCACACGAAGCTGCAGCAACAAACTCTGCTTCAGTGGTGGACAAAGTGACAATAGGTTGTTTTCTTGATGACCATGAGATCACACCTGAGCCCATCATAAAAACGTAACCGGATGTACTTTTCCTATCATTGGAATCACCAGCATAATCGCTATCAGTGAAACCAATTAGACCAGATTGTTCTCCTTTCTTGTACAATATGCCAAAATCAGTTGTTCCCTTCAAGTACCGGAAAATTCTCTTGGCAGCGAGGAGATGCAACTCCGTAGCGACTTGAGAGAGAGAGAGAGAGAGAGAGAGAGACATCGAGGGCTGGTTCTTTGATTTCCATCGATTTTTGGTGATTTTGATCTAGAAAATCTTGTTCTCCCTCCTGACCTGAGCGTATATCTTCGAGATTGTTCGAATCCTTCTGATCTAAATCGATCTAGGGCTCAAGGTAAGGGTTTTCTAACCTAGATTTGCTAAGTTCACTCAAGATCTGTAAAATCTCATGGTTAAAACAACGATTTGGAATATATTTTTGGTTGATGTTTGTAGATTCACTTGCATTTTTTCCCCAAATCTAGCGTATTTCTTGCATTTTTGCTTTTGTTTTGTGTTCTTTCTCTTCGTTTGTGGTCTCTTGCTCTTTCTAGTCCATGCAATGGGATACATGGAAAGCTTTTCTCGTTCATAGCGATTGCATTTTGTCTAGGGTTTCTAGTGCAATGTCAATGTCTCCAGGCAATTACCGGTTCATATAATCGAGATGGGTCGTGAGTTTAACGATCTAGAGACGTAGATCTTATTTTCAGATCTGCTATCTCTCCGATCAGATCTGTAAATATTAGGTCTAAATTCTATTTGTTACTTTCTTCTAGTTTTGATTGGATTTATGTTTCAGCCACAATACTATTTTGAGCAATTGGAAATTGTGTTTTATGTTAGTTTTTGACATAGAATTTAATTTGTTGACAGTCCATTTAGTATTAGCAAGTACAGAGAAATATGTTTAGAAATAGTTTAGAAAGGATTGTTGAAAAGATTGTTTACTGAAGTAGTAGGAGATGAAAAGGACTCATTTGAGTTTGTTGAAAAGATTGTTTACTCCTTAGAAAAAAGAAAAAAGAAAAAAGAAAAAAAAAAGAAAAAGAAAAAGAAAAAGAGTGCTGGTTTTGTAATACATAGGTTGTGGGATCTGGAGTTGTTTTATTTGTCAGTACGTGATTTGTTTATTTGTTCTAGTTTTCATTGATTTGCATTCCATCACTCTTGTTTTGATTTGTTTTATTTAGCTTGCTATGTATTCAACTTAAGTATTTGAGTCACTGTAGTGCAAGGAGGGGTTCTTCAGTGCCCATTGGGACACCAAGAAAAATCACAAAGATCTGGTAGGTTTAGTTGAAACTCTGAACTCTGTTTGGTTGCTAAAATTTTTTTTTTCTCATTCTTCTGTCAAATATTGGTTTCTTTTAAAAAAATTATATCTTTGTTCCATGTGCCTATATTGCTTAGAATCAAAGGTCTGAAACTTTAGATTTTCTTATAAAAATTTCTTCTCTCTCTCTCTCTCTCTCTCTCTCTCTCTCAGCTATGAAGCTTTGGTTCGAATCAATCTTTGTGCTATATTTTCATATATATATATATATATATTTATATCTGTGTTCATTCATTGCTGAGTAACTTTGATTTATACCGAGATTCACATATCTTTTTTATCTACTTTTAATTTTCGTCTATATATCTTTACTGTAAGTTCAATAGTCATGATTAGTGATGGATTTCTATGGTTTTGGTGTCTTTTTTTTCTTGATTGGCAAAAATATCACCTTCTGTTAGGAAAAAAAAAAAGAAATATTACCAGAATTTTTATACAAAATATATACGTCACATTGATTGGTCTTTAGTTTTACAACGAGCTGCCACATTATTCTAGATCATACAAAAGTGGATATTTTTGCCTTATCAACTTTAGCACCTCACTGCCTTAAGAGACTTGTCAATTGAATTCTTTGATGGGTTGGAATCTCTGCCGGAGTGGCTGGGTAACCTTTCATCTCTTCGTTCTTTGGAGATCAAGTAAAGTTTAATGGAGTACAGATAACTCTTCTTCACAGCCACTCACATGGTAAAAGGTAAGTAGAAGCTTTATACTCCTTATTTAATGAATGTATTACATTGTAAATTTGAAATGAAAAATAATAGGCTGTCTCATTTTTGTTTCTCTGCATCACTGTGGTGGTGCGCTCGATTCTAATTTTTATGCAGTTTATAGTCAAATAGGAGAGCCAAAAGTGGCATTAATGTAAAATAAAATTAGTTTGATGCGATGACCATTAAGATGATCATAAACACTACAAGGTATTTGTGTGTTCCAGGTGATTCAACTCATTTTAGTGCATGTGCTCCAAAGATTGTCATCTATGAAGCGCACACACCTCTCTGGAGGTCAAATATCGGTGTCTGACATGTGTTGGACATGGACACACTCCAACCCCGTGTTGGACACGCTGGACGAATTAGCCTGTGTTCCATTTTATTTTATTTTTTTATAATTTTTTTCACCGGAATAGCATACCCAAGATTAATGAATTTGATGAGAATAAATATTTGATATAAAATAAATATGTAATATTAAAAAATATGACATAATAAATATATAAAAATTATATGTTTTGTACGTGTCCCCCGCATGTTGTGTTGTATGTCTGTGCTTCTTAGTTTGCCATAGTCGCAAAGGGATCTAGGTTGATCGTCCTAGTCTAACCCCTGGTCCAAACTCTTGTTTCCACAACATGATCGACAAGAACAGAGAGAAAGGGATAAATTTTATACATGCCTATGGTTATAATTGTTTCATGATGTCCACCAAAAATGATTTAGTATAGTAATTAATTCATTTATATCATTTCAATTCTAAGTTAATGAATATAATAGGTGACATATTTTTTCTACTCAGTGCACAGACACATGATGACTTTGTAAATGATAGGTTTTCTATTAAAGTTTTGTGTTGACATCTTTCGCGTTGTTCAATAGTTGAAGTCATAGTCAAGATAAAAATATACGATAGGTCGTCTCTATTGTTCAATGCAATGTTGTTGAAACTTTAATATGAACTAACCATGTGGTTCATTGCTACTTTAACAGACTACATTTGATGCACCTGGGGGTACTGACCCCGTTGTATTAAGCCTTGGTTCCATGGGGAAAGGTGAAGCTTGGGTTAATGGCCAAAGTATAGGTCGATATTGGATCTCATTTCTTACCCCTGCAGGGACTCCTACACAGATATGGTAAATACTTTGAAAATACATTCGGAACTTCTATTCAACAAAGTACTACTTTCTTATGCAATTGACTCAGCATCAAAGGGAAATAAAGAGAGGAGAGGACATAGCAGGAAGAAAATCTAGGCTCTCATATAATATGATTTCTACAATCATAAGATTGCTGAAATGCAAGCACGTGAAAACATGAAATAGATACAATTTTCCACCCATCAACATACCCCACATTTCCAATTGCCCATATTCATGATTTCTTCTCTTCTCTTCTCACCCCTATCCCCACCACCCGTTTCTTTAATTCTTCATAAGATCTATTCTCATGAGTCATGATTTTGAAAATGAAAAGATCATTCAACTATTCAACTGTTACTTTTATAATGCTCTACTGAACCATACTCTGTGTATATGGATGTGTTAAACAAGTAGCTTATTGAAATTGTTATGTAAAGTAATTCCATTGACATGATTTGTTGGGTTTCAGGTTATGAGACATTTGTGTGAGCTTAAGTATAACAGTTTCCTCTGCAAATCCACTTCTTCAAGATCAAGCATGAAAAGTCTTCACCAATTATGTAATTTCTCTCTGTCTCTAACCAAGCAAACAATTTAATTAACTTCTGAAAAAAGAATTAGTTAACATCCTCTCTCTCTCTCTCTCTCTCTCTCTAAGGTCCATTATCTCTTTTTATAGGCTTCATACGAGAGCTATGTATTTGTGTAGGCCTGTGATTAGTTATGTATGCTTTTTGGTAAACAGAGATTTTTAATGTAGTTTATTTTATTTAGAAAAACCTGCACCCCTACACCCATCCACCCACATACACGAGAAAAGGGTGATTTGTAGTATTAAAATGTTTTAGGGCTTATTGAGCATATAATGATATGATAATCGGCTTATGATTCTTGAAGGCTGGTGCATTCTACAGTCTTACTTGTTCAGTATCTTCATCTGATGCCCATTTGGTCTCTTTTTTTTTCTTTTTCTTTTTTTTTCTTTTTTTGATTTGCATTTGGCTTTTGTTTTGGTATGTGCAAAATGTCCATGTCTAGAGCTGTTTACTAATTAATTTATTCGCAAGGAAGCATAGTGCTACAGAATAACATACATGATTCCCGCATAATCATGTTTAAGTTGACAAATATTTTCAAAACCATACTCTTTCTCTATGTGATGGTTTGGGAAAATTTTCTCTGAACTCCTCCCCTTCTCTACCTAGGTTCCCATTATTTGTTTTGGTACATGAATTATTGAAAGCGCTCTCACCTCTCAGTATATTTTCTTGTATTAGATGTTTGGTGGAACGAGCTCATGACTGAATTTTTTTCTGCAGGGCCCAAGGCCTGGATTTTTTCCAGATGATAAATATCAAAAGAAAGGTGTAGATTTTGCCATATCTAGGCTGTTTTTGAACTTCTGACCAATGATTTGACTTGATGCTATCTCTTTATGTACTAACTTGTATCTCTGTGTCTTCGAACATTACTTTGTTGAATATGCAGGCTGCGAAATCTGATTCCAATTCTAGTAAGTCCTTTTAAACCTTCCTTGTGGTTGGCTGCAATTTCTTAGCACGATACTTATAGAACTCGTCTTTCAGAACACAAGATGCCCGATGGGAACTGGAAGTGTGAGAAATGCAATAACATAAACTACCCTTTTAGGACCAAATGTAACAGACAAAACTATGGGGCCGATAAACCATCTGAGGGACAGAAATCCCCTTCAGAACCAGCAGATGAAAACGATCAGGTCTGTCATGAGATACATTTACTTACTATGTCCATTTGTTGCTTGAAATTTCCATTAAGATTGTTAACCATCTATGTGTATAGCACAAACAAAAAAAGTATTAAAGTTCACGATATATCTTTAGTTAATGATCTTTTGGGGAGCTACTATTTTTCCCTCTTGCTCGTCTTGGTTAGATCTTGTAGTGGTTGCATCTGTGATTTTCCTATTTTGATATTGCTGCTTCTACCTCCTTGAGCATTTATTAATTTTGTAATTGTCTAATTTTCCAGTGAGTTCTATAGGAAATGTTTGTGGGTTGAGAAAGGTCCAGAGTCGGCGTCGTCCAGCTATGCTCATTATGGGTGTCTGAAAGTCAGTCATGTCGTCGTATTGCCACACTTGTCAAGTTTATTCTTCCTTCTCATGATTTGTGTCGAGGTGTATTAATAAACTGGGATTTGGTATTTTTGGTTTAGTATGGATCTTTATTCATATTATGCATTGTGTCTGCCAGTTTTGTCTAGTAAGAATTTTAAGGGAGGTTATCGTTACTTTTTAAGACAGGATTTTGCCTACCTGTTTTAATGGGTTTGTTGACAAATATGCATAAGATTGAGCCATATATGCTATATATAAACTATATATAAGTGTAGGTCATAACTGCATTCTTCCTCTTTCAGGATTATAATTAGGTATCTGTATCTTACAAAATTTGGGGACTAGGAAAGTGTAGTCAGTCAACTAAGTTGGGGTTTGACAATTGTTTTTTTTTTGTTAGTTTTTTTTCCTCCCTTTTTTTGCCGGATATAGAAATAATGGAGATAGATATCGAGTTGGACTTTGGATGTCGAGAGTAGTGTACATTCCAACTTGATAGCAAGGATGCAGTAATAGAACCAGATGCCCTTGATTATTGAAATATTGCACTACTTGAACAATTCTAACATGAAAAATTGATGGGAAATTGATGTGAAAACCGTGCTTCTTAGATAGCCAATTACTTAATGTCAACTAAATCAATCAGGTAAGAATTTTGGTTCTTGATGAAGCCATTGCTTCAGTTGATTCACATATAGATAATCTTATCTAAAAGATCGTCTGAACAGAGTTTAGGGACTGCACTGTGTGCACTATTGCTCATCGTATCCCAACTGTTATTGACAGCGATCTAGTTCTGGTCCTCAGTGATGGTGCGTACGCTAATACTTCCCATTTCTTCTATTTAGTGGACATAAGTGTTGCTGCAATCTGTAGAACTTTTTCCTAAGAATTTTAGTATATTCTGCATTTGGTAATGTTATTAATTTTCACGAGTATCCAAAAAAATTTCATTTCTTTTTCTTTTAATCTTTTGACAAGATAAATTAAATTAGTAAAAGGCTCTAGAAGATGTGCAAAATGCCCATGTCTAGAGCTGTTTACTAATTAATTTATTTGCAAGGAAGAGATCGGAAGCAGAATAACGTACATGATACCCGCATAATCATGTTTAAGTTGACAAATATTTTCAAAACCATACTCTTTCTCTATGTGATGGTTTGGGAAAATGGACTTGCCTTGCCCACAGGTTGTCGATGCCAGCAGGTTGTGGCCAAAGCAGCATGGTAATGCCAAAATCTGGGTGTCAACGTGCCTAGAAGCTCTGGTCGGGCTTCAAAGTAGTCACCAATGTCCCCTCATGGGATATATATAGACCAGGTTCAAATGCTCTCCTCATCTAGAAAAATTTCTCAACTCTCTCAGGATCAAGCACCCCATGAATGAACTTAGTAACAAAGTACAAGGCTATATTAGCCCAGGTTTAGAATGCAGAGCCACCACTGCCCTCACGGGCACGCCACACCGCCTTGAATTAGTGTAGTATCAAGGGCAAAGCTATATATTAGCCCAAGG